GATAGTGGCGAGACCCAATTTCGAACAGTTCCCAGATCGCCATGAGGTTTCTGGTGGACACTTTTTCTTTATCATAGAGAGAAAACGCATAGAACCTTAGCTATAATCAATCGCTTGGAAGATAGGATCTGGGATCACGTCAAGCAAAAAACCGAGTGTATTCTACCAGCCAATGGACACAAACTTATTTCCACAAATCATTCAACTTCTTACGCTGTGCCTATAGGTAAGATGCGGGGAAGTCAACGTTCATATTAGTTCATATTACCATAAGGGACAAAGGAACTGTCCTTTGTGCTTACCATTCCTTTAGCTACCCAAATACCTAAAATCAACGCTGCTATGGTTGTCAATAGCGCACCGTAGTTGAATCCCTCGCTCAGCACATCGAAGGCCTTGCTGGGGCTTCGCCGTGCGCAAAATATGTCCAAACCCCACGCAATGGTCAGAGAAGTGGATTCCAATTTGGTGGCAGAGCTGAGGACATGCTCAATGCGCGGAACCTGCCTAGAATTGTTATTTGCTGCGAACCACCGTTACCACACCCAATACTTACATATAAATGATACGAAGCAACTTCTTTTGGATTGAAATCCAAGGTTGCGCGATATGGTAGCACGCCTTCCTCTTTCTCATCCGCTGTTGGTGCCCCAACCGGTCGACGCGGATCAAGCAGTCTCTTATTCACGCCGTAGAGGTGACCCTCTGCGAGTCCAACTGCAAATAGGAGGAGGTAATCTATCAGTGAATAGTCACTCATGCATTTGGCATTGCGGACGCATACGTAAAACTTCCTTAGTTGTGATTCCTGCTCCAGTTGCTGTTAGCGCCATCGCGTTAATGCGCTTAGGGAATGCGTAGCTCTGTGCGATGACATGTGGCCGTTTCGATTGGAAGGAGGAAAAAGTATTGCTATATTTATGTAATTAAATAGTTTGACAACGAATTTTACGGAAAAGACAAACTAAATAACAGTATCTGTACCTTTCAAGCCGTGAATCTGGTTTTGCACTTTCGTAAAACTCCAGGGTAGCCATTTCAAACCCCTTCGCATCTGGTACAGCAAAACTTGTCGCAGCTGCCGGTTTTCTCTTCTTCTTCCTTTTCTTCTTGAGATCCTGCTCTGTTTCAATGGTCGACTGATCAATTTGTGATGGAGCTGCCTCCGGACCATGATTCCAGTAGGATACCACCGCCCAATTTTCACTTTGTACAAGGTGTATCGAGGGAATGTCGGGCAAAACGTGTCCAGCTCCCTTGAACTCAGCTCGGTAGTGGATGCTACCGGTAACTGTGTCAATAAGATACAATAGGACAACAGAGGTGAACTGTGCATCGAAAGGTCCAGTGCCAGTAGTTGCGATGGTAGCGAGAGCCAGCAGATTCGGGTTCAGATATTTGTACAGAACCGAGCGATTGCCTAGTACCCGTCCTAGCGAAGCAACGTGCTCTGTTGTGCCCATTGGTTAGATGGAATACCCGTCTCCTTTAGGTCGCTTCTGCTGCACCAACATACCATGTTTGGATACTTCACCGAGTGCGGCAATTTTCTCATCATCAGGAAATTCCACCTTCCACGTTGAGATCAGCTTGTAATTGCCCTGAAAATACTTGAATAAGCATTGAAAATATCCAACAGTAGTTGACTGCTAGTTCACGCACATCCGGTGATTGTGCGACTTTGAAACCGCCTAGTTCCGAGGATCCTACTCCTTCCGTTAAGTAAAGATGAAAGGTAGGAAGAAATGTCTCGAAGGCGCCCCTTGCTACGGGAGAATCCGGATGCAGATAGACCTGGGAAGTTCAGTTGTCCATCAAGCAGTCCAGACGCAACAACAAACACAATCCACCGAAATATAAAATTACCTGAGAATCTTGTCCAACCAATGCCAACAAGTGCGTTCTGTCCTCGGGTTCTTCCAAAGGAAGCCTCATCACCTTGCGAATGAGGCCAAATTCCGATGTTGCATTAGAACCATCCCCAGGATAGTCATCGCCTGTCAACGCATTCAATCTGTATAACAGCGAAGTCGACTTCATGGAACAGATCACGAGACATTAATGTCGGGATATCTTCGCAATTCACAAGTTTGGACACTTACTTCATCCCGGTTACCCACAAGGGTAATAACAGGCGGGTACTTGACTACCGATGTCCGTATATTTTCCACTTGCCAGAACGAGATACCGCCAAAATACCTCTCCCATACCGTTCGACCTCTCTCAGTATCGTAGGCGACAACCTTCCCAGTTTTCGAGGCGAAGACAATGACTTTCCGAACACCCAGCATATCTGCTCGAAGATCCATGTCATCGTGAGTATTGCTACTACCGAAGAGATACTTCGACATAGCCACAATGCGCTCTGGTAATGCCTTCATCAATGCAATCATGTAAGAGCTCCCTCCAGATACAAAATGGCGACGATAAACTGAGCTACCTTCACTTTATTGTAATGAGACCGGACGCGTCTCATGTAGCGTTCGATCGACGTGATTGAAGCTGTCTCTTCCGGTTGTTCGTCTGTTAGGTAACGTCAAATTGTCAGTATATTATCAACAGATTGAAATGCACACTGTGTCTTACTCAATTCGTCGTGCACTTGAGACAATAGACTCTTTTCAGGAAGATCGACGTAGACGGCTGCAGAAGCTTTGGTCAAAGCCTCCTCCTTCGTCCATACAATCGCGCCGTCTTTCAACAGTTTAGTTGAACCATCTGCTGTAATGATGAAAATGCGAAAGCCAATGGAGCCGTCCTTCTTGGGAAATACATCGAGAAATGCCTATGGGAATTGGGAGGATGTGTAAGGGGCTAGAGCGACGAACGGAACCTTAATCCATGCATTGTGCTATAATGCTCAGAGAAACAGTATCAAAAATCCTTCATAGACCAAGGAACGGTGAACCGTCCACTCAAAGTCGTAGAAATCCAATCGTGATCATCACGCAATATACCAATAACCTTCCAAAGACGTCTGAAACTCTATCACAAACCTTCTGAACAGGGCCGGACATTCTTTCAATAAATGGGATCGAATATGTACCAATGGCCTTTGCGGACGTGCTATCAACCAGTTCGGCTCGTAGCTCCTTCTGAAGACAGTAGGCTCATGAATACCAGTAAGTGATCTCATATCGGGACACGTTCTCACCCCAGATCCTCTGGTGAGCCGGAGCACGTGGGTTTTGCCAAGACTATGGGCAGTCGCAAAAATATTGCCCTCAAGATGAGCCTAACCATAGGTGTTACTTAGTATTAACTAAACAGCAACCCGCTTTGAAAATGACATACCCGCTGAAACGTGTGGACGACAGTGTGTGGGTTTCGTGCAATGAGGTACTTGTCTTTGGCACGGATAATTATATCTGGGTGCATAGTCTCTGGTTGCAACACCGTAACGATTTCAGCACTCTCAATTCCGAATACCTAATGGAACAAACATTGAGATCCTAGCACTCTAGTCGATCGGTGTCACCGCAAAGCACGTACCTCCTCCACTTCCTCCACGTCTGCTTGGCGCCCTAATATATGCCTATAGGCTCTTGCCACCCCATTCCAATATAAATACACGTGCTCCACGTCGCCAGCCACGAAGATATCCTCAGATGCACGTACTGCACCATTAGGAGGTTGATATTCCTCGATGATGCGTCCCGTAATGGCGTCCATCTGAATGATGGAGACCTCTGGATAGTCGCGCGATTGTTTCGTGCCAATAAGGTACAAGACTCTCCCATGGGCATATATACAACGGTAAGTGGCACTAAAATTATAATTAGATAATGTTTGAATGATACCCGGAGTAACGTACCTTGTCTCCAATTTAGAAGACCATAAGATGCTTCCTTCTTCACCGCTCAGTCGAGTAACAGTTTCGCCATTTATCAGCGTCACAACATCACCGCCGCCGGTAAAGGTCAGATCTGCGGCGGGCTTGCTCACATTTCCATCAGATGACTGATCCCAAACAAGGAATCCCGTTTGAGCATCCCAGAGGCGCGTATGAATCAATCGTCTGCCGGATATGGACACTAACCCTAGATATCACCAGATTAGCGTCGGATTCTGCCGTTGACCATCACTCATTATTAGTCATGCATACCATGCGAACCGAGACGTACTGAGAGAAGATCGTCCGAAGGCTCCAGAACCTGTCGCCACACTATCCAGGAACGCAATATGTCGGTAACAAGCGCCGAACGACCGTACCGCCGCAAAACATACCAGAATTGCCCGTTTTAGGGGATATCAGGGCAAGTACGTTCCTTTCTGTTCCCACAAACAGTTGTGACCTTTGGCCTGTCCGCGTGTAAAACACATGGCTGGGGGTCCCCACGAGCTCCTTGTGCCTTTGGGGTAGATAAGATGGCTGTCAGATCGCGTTCCAATAAAGTTTCCAGTGCCGAAAAACACACCAATCTGTCGCACCAGCCTGGTCAACGTGAATTGCACTAAACACCGGAGTGCAAAGCAGACAAGCAAGCAGCAATAGTAACATCCTTTGTCGTTGCTCCAAGGCCAAAAGTGCGCACCGTCGATATCCAAATTGGACATCCAAATTGGCATGGCAACAACCTTATTGCCGACTAAGCCTGCTTCCCCGCCAAGTGCGGTAAATCACATGTCAATTTTGTCTTGGATGACCCCAGGACTGCCAACTTTGGGACTTCTGCCGAGCCGTTCCTTCGTTTGCCACCGATCTTTCATCATGGGGAGCGACCGCGACGGTGCTGTCATTACTCCACCAGACTCGCCACCTCGAAGTGGTGCAGAAACCGGCGATATCTGTGCAATGAGCAAGTCGTCGAGCTGTGGTATGCCGTCAATTACGTCGGCCGACGGCCTTGCGATTAAGGGTTTAAAAGTGCCGGACGTACCACCGAATACGCCTGCTTCTAAAGGTATGCAGATACTTGTAGACACTGATGACCTCTCTCTCTGGCTTTACGGACATGCAATAGTAATGTGAATTCTCTCCCTTTGCCTTTGTGAATCTAAATGTGTGGCATATCAAATTCTTAGAAGCGATTCTGGCTGCGTCCGAGGAAACAACAGTTGGGAGGGTTCCGGACGGCACAGGTAATGGCGTCTGCTATTGCCACTGTAGACATTTATAGTTGAACCTCATGCTTACTTTCGTTTCACAGTTTTTTCCGTTCCTCAGACACACGACTTGATTCAGACCCTATTTTCGCCAAAGGAACCGAAGACCTTACCTGAATGGATCACTCTCGGTGCGATGGCGTTCGAGATCTCTCTTTTCTTGTTCACCAATACCCCGCGAGGAGTGTTCCTCTGTTTCTTTATTTTCTGGCGCTGCATGTACAATTTCGGGCTTGGTGTCCTCTTGAGTGCTCAAAGTCGCGACCGCGCACTCGTCCGTTGGGCCAAGCGAATTGGTTTACAGTCTAATCCTACCAAGCCGCGGACATGGTGGGCGCAATTTCTGGTCAATCAAGTCAAACGGAAGATGAGCAAGGATGTTCAATACAATTACGAGGTACGTCTTTATTTGACGATATGCGAGTTGTATACGAATTACAAATGAATCATATTTTCCCCGTGAAAAAGACTATGCCGATTGAATTTAACGTTTGGATACTTTATCGCGGATTGGTCGACGTCATTCTGGTTAACGACTTCACGTGCTACGTGCTCTTTGCAATATCTTTCTACCAATATCCGGAAGGTGGCCACGGGTTGAAGGATGTACTTCGGTACGCAGGAGGTGTTCTCATGCTGTTGTTCAATCTTTGGGTAAAGACCGATGCTCATCGAGTTGTTAAAGACTTTGCGTGGTGTGAGTGGACTTCTGTTCATTTCTGTGCTTTTTACCCATGGTTCTTACTTTTCGCAATGTTTCGATGACTGGCAGATTGGGGGGACTTCTTCTTCCTGGTTGACGCGTCATTGACATTTGACGGGGTGTTCGAGATGGCACCGCACCCTATGTATTCCGTCGGGTACATCGGTTTCTATGGAACTGCCCTCATTGCTCAGAGCTACTGGGTGCTCTTTATCAGCTTGGCAGCCCATGCGGCGCAGATGGCATTTTTGCATTGGGTTGAGAATCCGCACATTGACAAGACCTATAATCCGCCCACGCAGAAAACTGGTAGTTATTTCATCTTTTGCGACGGACTTTGATACCCCGTACTTATTCAATTACCATTTCCCAGAAAAGGAGGATCGTGAGTTAATGGGGAAGTATTTTAGACGGGATATGACGGTGTTCCGCAATTTGGACTGGTTTAGAAGCACCGATCTCCAAACTATTACCATAGCGGCCTACACTGTTCTAGCCGCCATTCTAATTGGTCCGATCGATGGCACTTGGAAACTGTGGTTTTATGTGGGGTACGGCATTATTTGGTCACTTCCCGCTGTAGCAAAGCTCTAACTCTCCATTTCTAGTCAAACCTTATTTTGGCGTGTTGTCCACACTTACGGGCTTGGTGCGATCTTGTATTTGCAAAGCAATTTCCGTTTATGGAACCGCCACTTCATCAAGTATGGCGATAGTCCTCGGGAGGCGTTCCATCATTGGAAAGTGTAAGTGTCTCTCGTTGGTGCTCGGGTTCTTGCAGCTGGCTGACATAGACTGCTCGGTTAGAATATACAACACTACTCAATTGATGACTTACGTATCATTCTTCATTTGCGCAATCCGACTATTTGTGGTACCAGAGAATGTCGTTTATGGTACTTTTCTTCTTCGAGCAACTTTGGGCGTGGTAAGAGCTTGTCCTCATTGAAGGAAGCATGATTATGATTACCTCACCTCTATGCAGCTCTTTATTCTCTTGCATCTCTGGATTGCGATCTCTACATTTGAAGTGATCGGTTCATCGGGATGGTTTTATGGCGATTTCTTTATTGACGAGCTTCGTGCACGAAGTGGGCCCGTCTATAGTGGATTGTATCGCTATCTCGACAATCCGCTCCTGTACACGTTCTCCTGCTGGGGAGTGGCGATGATATGCGGTTCCCCCGTGCTGTATGCAATCACGCTTTTTGGTCAAGTCTCGAATTGGTTGTTCCTGCGCTACGTTGAACAACCACATATGCGGCGAATGTATGGATCCAAAATCCGAAGGGAAGCAGGAGTCGAACGGGTACTGAAGAGTAAAGTTGGTGAACTCGAACGAAATGCGAAGGGAGCTGTAGAAAAGATGGTGAAGGATTTGGATCTTGTTGATGTTCTTAACCGGATCAAGCTGGTGAAACGTCAAGGTGAACAGGAACTTAGGAAAGTCATGGGGCCAGAAGCATGGAAAGAGTTTGTTGCACGTGCAAGGGGCCGAAAAGGCGTACGCCGTGTCGGTACAGATGTGACACCACCGGAAAGCGAGGAGGATGACTACATAGCGGAAGAAGACGATGGGTCCACTGTCGGGCGAGAAGGACTCCGGTTGCGTAAAAAGACATCTCAAGATTCGCAAAGCTCTTCCTCATCTCATGAAGATGAAACGGCCACTCGTCAAGTAGCTGCTAGAGGAAGGCGCGATGCAAACCGGAATTTGCCCCAAGCCGTTGAGCGCATTATTGAGGAACTGGAAGACCTGGTGGATCAAGCGAAGCCTCGAGTACGAGCAATGGTTGGAGAAACGACCTTGAAGTTTGCACAGTTAGCGAAAGTGTATGTTGATTTGATCTTCTATCGCCATCGGGCTGTCAGCTGTTACGTGTGTCATTAATATTATGTCTTTCTTTCTCAGAGGGGAAGAGCTTCCTGTTTCTCGCCTTCCAGTGCATTTATACCGTTTGGAGTTTCCTTTCTGTGCCACTGGATCTCCTGTTACTTTCACGCTTGGTCAACCCATTACAATTGAGTTTGTATCTGTGGCCGAAGCCATGACATCGCGGGATTGGATTGGTCTATACCCGGTAACCGCTAACCCGAACAGTGCTTTAACCACAACGAAGAGTAGTGGCCGCTGGCTCTTCATAACTGGACATGCAAAGACGGAATGGGATATTGATGGTGATGTTGGTACAGGCCGTGGAATATCGCTGGTGAAAAAGAGCAACGGCAAAAGTTGGATAGGTCAGACAGAAGTGAAGTTCCTTCCTGCTCACGGCGATGGAATTACCGCTGACGCTGAAGATTTGCACCTGGTCCGGGGTCAGCTGACCTTCCACAACGATCAGCTTCCGTGGCGCGTTGGAGTTTACGAAGCGAGATATCACTATGAAGGAAAATATGGGGTCGTTACTGCCAGTCGCGCTTTTGAGATTGTCGCAGAGGAGTTTTCGTGGCAAGAGGCGGAATCCACCGAAGCCGAAGACGACAGAATTGTGGACACTTTACGGCGAATCGTGGAGAACTGCTTGGACATTGATGTTGTGGCTGGCGGGAGGCCGCTCGGTGTCGACGACGATATTTTGGAAAGAGTGAAGGTGGACGGATGTCTGGACGGTGGTATGCTGCGGCCGTTTTTAAATATGAGCGTGCTCATGCCTGAACTAAACTACTATTTCTTTGCAGCCTCGTACGCGAAGTATAAAGAGGAGGTGGCGAAGCGCATCACATATGTAACCAAGCAAACTTTCGGCATCGAGTTTTCATGGAAGGTGATCGGTTTAGTCGGGACTGTTGGAGGTCTGGCGAAGCGGGTATGTGGCAGCGTCGTATCACAGCCAGTGCCAAGTCCTGACTAACACTTGATGAAAATTTAATATGTAGATATCCTCCGCTCGTGTTGCGCTACATCCACCACCGACAGTGAGCGATGGCAAAAACCTGTAACTTATTTTAGATATTAGTCGTTGTTGCATTTTGTGCACAATAGAATGTCCGTAATGTCACATACTCATCACGAGACAAGAAGAGGTTCTTCACGCTTTTTTCAGCTGGCGGGGCGACCTGCGGACGTCGTCTAGTCTAAGTTCAACGATGTGCTGAATGTAACATATAGGAGCATATACTCGGTGGTTTTTTAGCTGCGAAAGAATATCTACCAGTCCCTGTTTAACTGTTCCTGTCGATCAAGCTGTGAAAGTGTGTATTTCAAATAATAGAGGTCGATAACTTGTCAATTGTGCTCCTAGACTATGTGAGGCTGTCTAAACTATTTTACGTAGTACTGATTACCACAGGCGATGCAAAACTTCCATCATGGCGGCACGTCCTAAGAAACCGGCTGCGTTCGCCTGCAACGGAAATATTACGTTGAATAACGAGTTGCACGAACAGAACCTGGCACACGTACCGGAAAGGCGCGGAGAAGTGCCGGTCCCAAACCCTTGAACAGTGCTGTGGGTCCTTCAGATGCGATGATTTTGACACCACAGTCAACGAAGCCTTTGTAAGTTCCTGCAGGTGCTGCCTGAATGCGGGATTTAATAACGTCAGGAGGCTAATCGGATTGACAAAGATGTTAGTAGGAAGCCTGGTACATTGTGTGTTGTTGCCACTAATTTGCATCAACTCACAATAGCAATGGACCACATCGCAACCCCAGCCATTCCTATGAAAGCCACACTTTAGATTACGCCTGGAAATTCGCGCGTATCAGATACGTACCACCCGCGAAAAGAACGGATCCCACTGAAAGCCCCTCTTGTCCCTTTGGCTTTAGTGCACGATAAACAGCTTCATAGGCCCAGAAGTATGCAGCAGATCCTGGTACATCGCGAGCCAACGTCGCGATTGTGCCACGGTATAAAGAGCGGATACCTCCTTCACGCCACATATCGGCACCTGCGTCCAACATTCCCTTGTACTTCTTTCCCCCAGCAGCTTGATCCTGAGTCTGCAGTATGACTTTGACTCGTTCCATGGGAGTTGTCACAATTGTGGTCGGGATAGCCGAGAAACCTCCGGCAATGGCATACTCGGTCAACGACAGATCCGTATTTTTACGGTTCGGGGTAACGTTACGCACAAGTTGACAGCCAAGGTCGTAGGACTAAACGACGACAGGATGGTGAGCGGCCAGTACAAAGAACAAAACAACTAACATGCAGAGACACCAAAGCATCTGCGCGTCCGTCTCCAATAGGAAAGGAGGAAGGTCACAAACGAAAGGCCACCAGCCGTCTTACTCACCCAGAAACTGAGAGCGAACATTGGGGTAACACCAACAAGGGGAGACGCCATGCCCTTGTAGAGGCCAAGGAACCCTTCCTTGGCTACAGTTTGTTTGAAGCAGTCCGCCAATCCTTTGTACTGATTGCTGGTTTGCAGGCGAACTTTGAGGGTATCAAATGGATGCTGAGAAGAGAAATCAGAACCGTGAGTTGCTAAAGCTCGTCCATCGTTTGAGAGCATAAATGATGCAAAGATTTAACACAACTTGCAACGTACACCGGCCAAAACTGTCGAAACGCCGGCAGCGGCACCTCCCAGCAGAGATTTTATCTGATCCATCTTTGGAGCGTCGTCGGCCATCTTATTATGATCGTTTGCACAACAATGGAAGAGAACTGCAAGAAAACCCTATTGAATGATTCATATGCACGCAGTTTCGCCGTGAAGCATCGTCCTCTCACCTTGTCGGTGCGGCCCGTCGAGTCGAGGTGGACAAAAGCGAGGAAGCGACCAGATCGTTGAAAATCTCCGTGCTAAGCCATCAGGGTGGGTAATCAGGGTTAAATGCCCGAATCCGATCATGAAGTTGACCGTCATAGCAATTGCGACGAACCCTCATTGACGTTTACTCTCCACCATTGATGTTTTTTCAGAGTTTCCAAGGTTTCTGTGGTGCTTCCTAATTGATAGCCGGAATGTTCTACAAGTGGGTATCTGACGCGCAGGTCATCTTCAAGATGTCCAAGAGCATAGAGCGCCTTTGCGCTGTGTTAAACATATTGGGCTTGCTCTCATGAATCGCCAATTTTTGTCGAATAGCCTCGAGGATGAAATATCTTCGGTCTCTCTTCTTTCCGAGGCCGCTGAAGTAGTGGCCAGCGTGCCCGCAGCTGGACTGGAGGACCTTACAGACTTTATGGCCTTGTGCTCACCAAGTGTGGCAGACTATTATACTGGCCGACGCTCTGCCAAACCTTACGTTGACGACCTGGCGGTAGGGCATTGTTGATGTGTTACTGGTTTCAAAGTATGCTTTTGGAGACTTACATGACGGACAACTTAGGCCTATTTTCGAGATCCGGGATTCACAGGTCTCCTGGAATATTTGATCATGTCGGAAGGAGTTTGTCGAGAGGTGCTGCTACCTCTATGTCTTGACTGCATCGACATTCTCTCTGCACTCTCTAGCGAAGAGATGGCAAAAATTGATGGTAATTGTTGATGTTTTTCGTAATCCCAGAGGCCCATCGTTAATGATGAACGTGAAGACTATGAAATGGTTGAAAATTTCATCTATGAGATTGTTTCACGACTGCTACTATTAGCGGATAAGTTTGCAGATGCTCGAGCAGCATTGAATGAGTCCATCTGGGAATGGTCCAATGGATTCGTCAATCTTATTATTCGAAACCAATGTATGAGTTGTTATTTGACCGTACAAAACTCTCAAATTCCCGATATGTTTTATTTAACGATAACTTCTACATCTTTCGAAGCAGCACCGTGGAAGCTTAGAGCTGGTGTAGTTTCGATCATGGGTGTATTTAATGCGCTAAAGACTGCACCTGTCAAGCCTCAGCTTCCATTCCTGACCAATTTCCTCGAGATTGCCAATCGCCTCTTGGATTTCGAACAGCTTAAAGCTATTGATAAGGCAGCGAGGGCAACAGAAAACGGTGCATTAAAGTATCCGGAACAACGATATGAAGCCCTTGACGTCATCGCAAGTTTATTCGCTTACGCTCAGCATTTACTTCTCGACACTCTGGAAGTTCATCGGCTTGATGCAACACCATCTACAGCAACTTGGGAAACTGTATGTCAAGGAAAACTTTGCAGCCTTGTAACAGATAGCCAGTCTCGAGCTGCGATCCGGTCTCTTTACGACGTGTGTTGGCGATCGTACCGCAGGCAGACATCTAACGAACAGTGTGATGAGGGAGACATGCTTGGCACACTGTTGCCTGTGGTAGTGGTATGTGTCTGTTCTCCACAATAAAGGGGGGAGGTCGCATTTTTCAAACACCTATATCCGTTCAGCAATCAGCTGTCCTTTGCTCAGTTCATGTGGACCGATTGGAAGAAGATCTGTTTGTGCACCTCACGGCCATTTTGGAGGAGAAAGATCCACATTTCGTGCGAAACGCCGGAGCGGAAGTCTTTGTTGTTGCTTTGGAAGGCTTGGGGGTGCTCACTGAAAAGTAAGAAACAGGAATAGGCGGAATATTGGAACCTCTTACCTATGTATGGTCCAGCTTCCCTGCCATGCGTGGGAAGATCTTAGACACTCTCTTGGCCTTCATCCGCAACCCAGCTCCCGCCTTTCTCCAATGGGCCGACGACCATGCAGCCACTGCCGCCATGCGCCATTGTGCGAGCGCAATGCTGTTGAGGAATTTACAGGTGAGCGTGCTATTGTCATCTAATTCGGACATGGCTAACCTTCGCGCAGGCTGCTGGGAAAGAAACCATAACCGTGGCTGTTCTGGATAAGTGTGTCGACACAATGCGGGGCATTATGGTCGAAGGTGGTACGGTGAATCCCTGGTCTTCCGCATGGGAGAAGGGCCTCGCTCAGCAGAATTGCGCTGTTGCCGTCGCCACGATTGCACGTATATTGGGGAAGCAAGAGGTAAATGGCGCCTCTCGTAAATTTCGTGACATTGATTATATTAATGCGGCGCATTGTAAGATTTTGAAAGTTCTGACGATCGCTTTTGAGGGTTCCCTGAATGATCCCAAATTTCCGTCTCACGATCTCATTTGGGAAAGTCTGGGAAATATGGGCTTGACCTGCGAACCCGACGTCTTCCATCTCGTATTGTCAACACTTAGCCGACAGCTGTCACCAAAGGTTATATCAGTTTAACTGACTACAAAGCATGTCGAGTGCTCAAGCTCACGCATGTTACTTCAGAGCACGGAGGTTCGCCATACTTTAGCGCGCGGAGCCGCGAAATCACCAGTCTTCTCGGGCATTTACCTTCAACAGGTTTTGACGTCATTTACCGAGAAGGCCATGCGAATCAGCAAGCAGGTATGCATTCAGGTCACGATCGAGTTTGCGCGACGCTCAGCTGTTTATAAGGGTTATATGTAGACTGCCAACATTGTTGCAGAGCTCTATGACATTGCCTGGATAGCGAAAGTGATATGCGACGAGGAGCATATTCAGTTGGCAGACGAGAAATCAGGGAGAATTCGAACCCTCTCTCGTGATTTCTGGCTGTGTGCTGTTATATATGTGATGAAATCTGATGGATCCTGGCCAAAAGGATGGCCCGCAATACTGCGCCAGATTGCCGTCAAGAGTCCTGTAATGACTCTGGCGCCTCATGAGAGGTTCTTGGAAGCGGACCTTCGTGCACATTCTGTGTTAGAGAAGAGTTTTACGGACGAGGTAAGTAGAAGCAAATTCGATGCCATTTGGGCTGCGCTGAATAGTGCTTTCTGAAGACCCAGCAGCGCGTGCGGGGGAATTTAGTACAAGCCTTCCCGGATCAGGCGAGCAATATCAAGTTACTGTCGTTCGCCAAGTGCGCATACCTACTGGCTGTACGTGAACTAGAAGTGCTCCGCGGGCAAAGAGCCGATGTGAAGGCCATGTTAGAGTATCTCACAGACGACCGCTTGTATAACGATGAAGCCTATGGGTTATTGCACTGCATCGGGGACGAGGTGGGCAACTCCATTTATGCACCGCCATTTGGCCAGATTTGCTGACCCTTTCCCAGGTTGTGTCCACCTTTCTTAAAAAATGCGTTGAGAAAAAGGAGGAGGGTCGCATAGAGATCGAAAGACACATTGTTGAGCTCCTGTATACTGCCGCAAGCCGGTTGGACCGTGCTCGAATGTTTGCAGTGAAAACGATTTACAAAATGCTGGCTATGTTCCCGTGGCTACTCTGGAATCGTAAAGCTGTTTACCTCATGTTGGATATGGTTCAATGTCTCGATACGAAGTTCCAACTGGATTTGGATCGCAGGGTAGGAACGACGTGGTTGGATTGATTGTCGCCTTTTATATTCATCCCTTTTTTCAGAAATTGCTTCGGGCAAAGATTGGAATGGAACTGACATTTCTTAATGACTCCGATATATACGGAGCGTCCAAAGCATTCTCCGATTTCTGTGCCCGCTGGATGACGTTGGCTATACAGCACTCGTCTAGCGAAACAATGGGCATGCTGCAGGTAACTATTTTCATGGCGCAACTATCTCGTAACGGGCACTCAAGTTTATTATAGGGATACCTAGTGGATCTACACACAAACTTTCCGGAGCTCGGATTAGGGGATAAATCAGACTTAATGTTGTTGCTGGGACGCTTTTGCTCCAGCGATGGTATGATCAAAGATGCGCCAACGGAGCCCAAGTCGCTTATGAAGAGGTTTTGCTAACTTTCTCGCATCAGATATTATATCCTCCATTATAAGATCTGTCGGCAAGCAGGCGCTGTACTACGGAGAGGTTCGAGGCATGTTAATGGTCCTGAATCCATCTGGTGAGGGTTTACAATACCACTTCAACTTAGAAATTTAATTTATCTGATAATTGCGATATTAGGTCCAGGCCGCAGCCAAAAAAATCCCTTTGAGAAAATTTCGAAACATCTCCGCGCCGATCTCCGCGCGGTAGTCACTCACTCCTACGACCCGGACTTCGCTGTGAAGCTTCATCCTATATTACACAGAGCAGCGGCGCTGGTGCTATTGAATGACCAGGTGCATACGGCCGGCGTCTCAAGAGCAATTATATCACCACTAACATATTTATAGGGCGAAGATGAAACTTTGGAGCTGATTTGCTGGACTCCCGTGACGGTGTTTACACCGGCCGTCATGGACATGACAATCTCCGTTTGGGGTTGGCTCATGTTAAGTAGACCAGAATTGGCACCCAGAATTATGGCGCATATGGTAGCGGTATGGGAGACCACTGCATACGAAAGAAAGGGGCTGTACTCCCCCCATTACAAGTGAGTACCTTATTTCCACCCGGCGTAGATAAGGCAGATAGGACTTCTGACCAGAGTGTTGCCAAAAGATCAGCAAACCCATTCTACGCCAAAATGACGTACACGTCTTCAAAAAAGCCAGCAGATGAAGCTCATCGGGTGGTTCACCTCAGTTGGATAAGATTCTTGTTAGATCGCTTCAAGTCCGCCCGAGTACAAAGCGAAGACCACGTTAAGTTCTACGCCAAACTTTACCAGATTGCCCACGAGCATGCAAGTTCTATCCGGTAAGACGATCTGGTGCGTTATAACTGCGGGTTACACTTAAATGAATCGTTTCACAGATTCTCTTGGTACATTCGCGAACCATACTTCTTGTTGTTGACTTTGGGAGCCCAAATTGCTGAACATCTAGGAGTGAAAGGCGACCCATCCGCCTATACCATGTGGACCAATGTCCTTGATGATGCTTTGAAATGGTTTGAAGTACCAGCGAGGTAATCAATTGCCCTGTCTCTCCGGGAATTACGTCGGCGCTAATACGCGTGATATTAAGTTTCGGAACGATTGAAAAGCGCGAGCTGCAAATATTGGTCGATTTCCATGCTGCAATCAAGGCATTCAGACCCGGTGGACACTCTCCAGCCGTACTGAACGGCGTTGCTGGAAAGTTTATCAGGACAGCATGGCTTACGGCGGCGCCTTCTGGACGAGGTATACCTGATCACTTTTTGACGGGTTGTAGTAGCAGTGCAATAACCTTCCTCGATCAGTTCATCTTGCAGACGCACAAAATCTTCTACTATTACTTCTCGAGAATGAAATCCACCGTCTCGCCACTTGGCTGAATCCTGTAGATGACAAGAAGATGGGTCTCCCAGAACTACCGCAGACCAGCGAGCGTGCGGTATGATCTTTTCGAATTAAATGTGTCGCTCAAGGACTTGTCTGATCGGCCTCCATTACAGGTCAACTGGCCCTCAATGATTCGCATTGCTTGGAGCATCAGCCCTCGTATTGCAATTCAGATGGGTAACCGTTTCAGTCACGCTGGAGAACATCTGGACTCATCCTTGGTGGCGTTATGCTACGCATCACCTGCATCGGTTTTGGATGTTCCAGAGGCCTTGCCGCATATCCTAAAAAATGCTGCAAGTCTGGTGTCTGACCATCAGCTACGGGTAACATGTTTGGTCACCCGATCCTTGCACTACAAGTATCTAATCAATTTTGTAGTACATTTTGCACTGGACAGCGGTTCCTCCAATAACAGGGGTGTCATTGCTTGGGCAACAGTACAAAATGCAGCCATGGATATTACAGTATGCCGTTCGAGTCCTTGAGCACTTCCCTGTGGATCATGTTTTCTTCTACATTCCACAAATGGTGCAAGCTCTTCGCTATGATACTGTTGGTCAGTGAATTGTTTCTGGTACCGTCTACCACTAAGGCTGACCTTCGTCTATAAAGGCTACATCGAGCACTTCATCCTTTTGGCCGCTAAGACTTCACAGCATTTTGCGCATCAGATCATTTGGAATATGAATGCCAATATGTACAAGTTCAACAAAGAAGGACAAGCGGATGCGGTACGGATATTTGTGAAGAGTAAATCTTCTGCTCGTTGGTGTGTTCGAAGCGCTGACCATCCCACGTCTCCACAGCCCGATTCTTTAAAGCCAACTTTGGAACGGGTCCAAAATAAAATTATTAACTCGTTGTCAGGGTCTGACAAAGACTTTTATGAACGCGAGTTCCGCTTCTTCACCGAAATCACGGGCATCTCAGGAAAGCTTAAGCCTCTTGTTGAAAGCGGAGCTACAAAGGCAGCGAAAAAGGTCTGTGCAGACTTACCCGTACGCAGATTACTTCTTGTCGGCTGGCCGCCGTGAGTAACAATCAGTGTCATTAACCAGGTCAAGATTGATGAAGAAATGGCGAAGATTGTTGTAGATGTTGGGGTCTATCTGCCGACGAATCCTGAAAGCATTGTGGTGGATATAGATTATAAGTCCGGTAGGCCTCTTCAAAGTCACGCCAAGGTATGTAAATCAGGAGGTGCACCAGATACACTTCGGCTTCATTGATGAGCCATTTTTTTAGGCACCTTTCATGGCAACTTTCAAAGTCAAGAATGCCGAAGACAACCGCACGGGAAAATCATCAGATGACTCGGTTGTCAAACAAGATACCACGCGATGGATGTCCTCAATATTCAAAGTCGGCGACGATTGTCGCCAGGACGTTTTGGCTCTGCAACTGATTAGCATATTCAAGAGCATCTTCTCAAAGGCGGGCCTTGATCTTTACCTGTTCCCTTATCGAGTTGTGGCCACTGCGCCAGGCGTAAGTTACCTAACTTTTCAGCTCATGGATTACGTTATTGTTCCCCTAACTAGAGAGCTGTTGCCGATGTAATTATAGTGTGGCGTTATTGAAGTCATACCAAATTCGACTTCTCGTGATATGATGGGCAGGGAACAAGTTAATAGCCTTTACGAGTAAGTTCCGAAGATCGCACGATTCATACCCAGTCCACTGGAACTAACCACAGTTTAGCTGGTTCATCGCATCCTTTGGCAAAGAAGACTGCGTCAGCTTTCGAAAGGTATATACCGATTTTCCGCCTTGATATTCGCCCACTTTTATACTCAAATACTTCACCAGGCACAATCTGAGTTCATAAAAAGTTTGGCGGCATATTCTCTGATTCTGTTCATACTCCAAATCAAAGATCGCCATAATGGAAATATCATGTTTGACAACAGTGGGCACATGGTCCACATTGGTAGGTGTACCATCAACCTTTGAGGATGTGGATATCCCGGTGGAACATTGATTACTTTGTCAGATTTCGGATTTATGCTGTCGATCGCCCCCGGTGGCGGAATTCTCGAAGCTGCACCCTTCAAACTGACTACCGAGATGGTGCAAGTTCTCGGAGGTGATGTCAACGCTCCACAGTACCGATTATTTTCCGAGCTTTGTGTGAAGGCGTATCTGGCCTGCAGGTACTGTAGACTTGTGTGACCATTTGTCTTGCCCACGTTCAGGGGATCATAACATTTTCTCTATGCGTCAGACCATACGCAGAAGAAATTACGCAAATGGTCTCATTAATGATGGAATCTGGATTGCCTTGTTTCAAGGGTGCGAGCAATTTGTTCTACATCTATCTCCTCTATCACTGCATCTAAACCCTACTGTCTTCAGGAGACGTCACAATACGTAAACTGAAGGAGCGTTTCCAACTGGATAAAACTGAGCGACAGGCGGCCGAATTCATGATGACTTGCATTCGTCAGTCGCACGAGAACACGAGAAGGTATTTAGTAGTAGTGGTTACCAGCCTCGACGAAGTCCATTAACCCCCTTTCAAAACTTTTCTTCCTGCCAGCGGCCTTTATGACCGCTTCCAGTACCTGCAAAACGGCATTCCATATTGAGTGAAAACAATCATTCGTTTGCAGATGGTCGGCCCCGCTTCTCCCCTTCTGTTCTTTTGGCTGTTTCAGCAGCCATTGCTTCTAATTGTTCTTGAACCACACGCCGCTGGTACCGGCAAAACTCCCTATACGCAAAAGTGACCATAGATATTAAAAATGTAATTATAGCGAGATGCTCTTGCATATTAATTCGATCTGCAGGTATATACCATGAAAGCATTGAGATGGCACCAAAAGAAGCAAATCCCCAATTCCCTGCAGAAAGCAATCGGCCTATCATATCGGGTTAGTGTGCCATTGCGGACAATGATAGGAGCTGCACAGAACCCGTACGCGTAACGAAGAATCGTGTTGTTGCTATTATTGTGCCTCCTCCAATGCCATAAAGAAGGGCCTTTCTTGAGCAGGGGACTTTTGCGACATTTTCCAGCTTAAACTCTGCTGCTTTTATCCCCTTTGACATTCGAATTCAGCATCCACAATGGAATTTCATACAAGGGACTTTACCTTTGCAACAGTCCAGAGGTCAGGTTTCCTAGGAGCATTACGTGGCTCTTCCAAGGCCGCGTCTACGGGCTCGAGAGCTTGTTCGTCCTTTCTTAAACTCATGTTGGCAACCACGACGTTGCAGACTACAAGGATTTTGTTGGGTTTATCGTGCGAGGTTGACTCACCTTAGTCACGTGCTCGCAGCAGCGCTGCAAATCTGGGTTGGTAGAGCTGTAGAGTATGTGAAAAATCCCACTGTTCCTGCCAGAATTGGCACACGGCTCAACGGAATAGTGTGTCCTGGCCCAAGTAGACGCTACTACCCGACGAGCCAGTGTTCCGTCGACCTAGGTATCAGACAAGTTTTGCGATACCGGACCATATTTTCATATTTGTGAACGTTTACACGGGCTATTCTGGATCGGGGTATTCATCAAGTGCAGACTGTCTTGAACTGCGTGCTGCTATCCCTTTGTCCTCCGCATTCAGGTTTTCCCTAGCTGGAACTGCCTCCGATCGCTTTTTCTCTTCCTACAACAACAAAAATCCTAGCGTTAAATTCTCGCTTTAGCCGCGGGAATCTCTGTCAACGTACCAAGACCGTCATGGTATCCTCAGCAATCTCTATAACGTTTTCCTTCACAGACTCGTAAGCTGTATGAATTCTTTGCCCTATCGAGGTTTTGAGAGCCTTGCCACCGACGCTGGATGCCGCACTGACAGCTATGCCAACGCATTCTTTCACTTTGAGAAGGTCCGCCACCTAGAGTAGCTGTATCAGATGACATAATGGTGCAGAGGCTGTAAAATAAAAGTACCTTCTGCGCTGTGGATGTGACACCCAGCCGCTCATCAAGTCCCTGCACCCTCGTTGCGATCCCGGACGCAGTATCGGTGATCCCAAATCTCTCTGCCATGTGCGTAAGACCACTCATGACAATGAGTAATGCGATTCGATTCGATGTAGTGTAACATACCATCGATTCGCTCGGCGCGCAGAACTCCTGACGCAAGAAGTTCAGCATATCTTGAGTGGGAAGTGGCCAGTCCACCGGGCGGTACTTCCGATAACAAGTGGACAGTTATTTTCTTGTCTGTTATAGTAGGCAAAATAATCTTAGCATAGAGTAAGTGATATCAGAGTGTGAGGCGAGTATACCATTTATCAACATGCCCGATAGCGTTAGAGCCATGCTGCAGTTCGATCACTAGGTCAGGGACTTCCCATGAACCAACAGAAACAAGAGGGAATCGGAACTATACCGAGCGCTTTCCTCTATTAGGAGGAGACATCACCAAATGTTTGTAAGGCTTCTAATCATGACCTGTGACAGTTACCAACAGGCAGTCCTAGACATTCTTCCCTCACCGTTTTCAAAAGATATGACGGCCTGGCATGTTCGTCCATTCTCCGACCTGAAACGGAGGGCATTGAAGAGGAGTGAGTACAGTGGAATTAGCTCACTCTCTCCATATCAACTCTTTTTACCTGGGAAGTTGGAACTCGGTGTAACGGCCACATATACTGAAGAAATCCCGCACTGATCGTACCGATGGCACGAGTAAGATGCTGTCCATTTCGCGCAAATGGAACTTCAACAATCTTTTACCTGTCTGTTCTTCAGCGCTGACTGGAATGTCGCATACCAATACGGTTCGAGCAATGTGATCATCATCGAGTTCGGATGGCATTTTGTGACAAGTTCACCCAATGCTGACACGCGGGTATGGGGCTTAGTCCCCTTAGTACCACTATAGAATTAAAGCAATATGGAACATTCTGACAAATATCGATCTTGGAAGCCTCAACTTTCCAGCATTCCGCATTTCATCATCAACATGGCTGGCGAACATTCAAAAGCATGCTGCGAGCTTCCGCCGTTTGCTAGCAACTATCAGCCTAAAGGACAAGTATCTACCGTCGGCGATTTGCCCACTTACTTTGTCGGTGAAAAGGGAAAGAGAGCTATTATCTTGATATACGATATTTTCGGTTTCCATCCCAAGTAAGACTGTACTGTGAATTTGATGCAAAAAGTGTCCTAATATAGGCGCGGTCTTGGATAGCACACACCAGTTTGCAGATGAACTGGCTGCCAAAGGCTTTTTTGTTGCTGAGCCGGACTTTTACCGCGGAAACCCGTGGCCGTTGGAAAAGGTTCCTATTCAGCTCCCGGAACTAATGGCCCATCTAGAGCAGCACGTCCCTGAAAGTCGTATGCTAGCCGACATTGGATCTGTTTGCCGTTATTTGCGATCCAATGGCGCTGAAAGTATTGGTACTCTTGGCTTTTGCTGGGGGGCGATCTATGCGATAAGAGCCAACGTTGAAGGGTTGGTAGATGCGTCCGCCGCTGCGCACCCGAGCCGCTTGACCGTCGAGATTGTGAAGGACGTGAAAGGCCCACTTGCGCTTCTGCCTAGCAAAGATGAACCCGATCTTGTGAGTGTCACCTTGCGAGTCATTTCAGGTTTAATCAATGTCAATACCTGCGAACTAAATTCAACTATTATCGTACAGATTCCTCTTATGGAAGCCTTAAAGGAAAAACCTTTTGTGGACAAGAATGTTCATGTTCGTTTCGATGATATGCACCATGGCTGGTGTGCAGCGCGTAGCGATTACAGCAACCCGGCCAATGCTCGGCGTTCTCGTGAAGCACTGCAGATCATGGCACGCTTCTTTGACGAGACTTTACAGGCCAAACTGTAAGACGCAGGCAAACTAGAGTGAATTCTATATATTCTTCCAACGTAGATTTAAGAATCTATAGACGTTTGAGCTAAATGTACAATGCATGTAAGTGCCGATTTTTCACTTTTCCACCAGCGGGCGTTGCTCGTCCTCGCAATATGACTCGCCATCTGGAGATGGCATGAGCAAAAGCCCATATCCTGCAATTATGGCAAGCGAACCAATCACGGTATTCCAGCCGAAATCCACACCTGCTACGAAAAAGTCGAGAGAGCTCATTACTGGGATGGTCAACATGATACCAATGGCGGCCATTAGAGGACCACAAAAAGCAATAGCGAGCATGAATGTGGCATTGAACACGAGGCCCAGTGCAGCTACTACAGCGATAACAGCACACGACCGCAAATCTGGGATTTCAAAAGACTCCCATCCCGTATAATGAAAAAGGAAAATTGGCGGGACCCCAAACAGTAGTGTCGTGAGTCCAATAAGGGACGTGATGTGTAGTGATAGGAGCATCGAGGGTTGGAAGGGCACCAGGAACTTCTTGTAGAACACCTCGTAGCCGGCCACCCAAAAAGACGATGATATAGCAAACATATACCCGACCGATTGGGAAGAAGGGTTCTCGGACGATTCCTCTTTGGGATCAGCCCAGGATATTGCAATGATGCCAGCGACGCATATGAACACGGCGCACAGTCTTGCGCGTCGGATCCGTTCGTTCAACAATAACACCGAAAGCAGATATGTGAAGAAGCAGCTTGAGTTGTATATCTGGGGTTTCGCAGTTCTGATGAGCAAGTAACAAGTGACGGCAGCCCAATTTTCACATACCGCTGTCAGTTCCCCCAGGGCAATGCGTGAGACGCTAAGGTACCACGAGTAGGCACCGGCGGTAAAGAACGCATTTAAACACAAAGTCCTTCTGATCAGCATCCGATATGTACCCTGACCATCGTTTGCGGGCAAGTCTTCAGCAACTCTAGTGATACGACCCACATAGTCCTGTGGGGTGTCGTGATATACTATCCGGCAGTACAAGTACTGTAAAGGTAATATGATGACATAACACCTGGTAATAACAACTGGCTTAGCGCACTTGTCGTGCTTTATAGGCGATGGAGTATCACAGTGTCGTACCCATGGGCAACGTAAAGAAGGAACCAAGGCTTATTAAAGCTCTGAGGTCCTTGAACAATAGAAACTGCTTCCGACTGTGCTACAAAGGCAGCGATGGCAGACAACAAGAGGAGCACACCGCAGGGTGAGATATTGGCATTAGAATTACCATATTCACTTAGCCTCCCAACCGCTTGGACTGCCGTGCTATGGCCATTAACGAGTTGAGCAGATGGTGACATGCCCAAATGGCAAACAGATCTTCTCCCCGATGCGACTCAAATGTCAGCACGTGATGCATGGCATGAACCGGTTCCAATGGCTGGTCACTCGTTGCTCGTGAAGGGGAGCCTCATCAGGTTGACCGGCATCCATTCGAACGTAAAAGGACGTGATTGCAACACAGTAGACTTGAACGGACCGGCGCAAGCTAGATTGGGTTCGCAAGTCTACTTCCAGTGTCGACGGCTGACTGTCAGCGAGGTGCACCAAGGAGATCTTAGAGCATAAATTGCGCCTGATAACGGCGACGCGTGGGGTATAGCAAGGTTCTGGAGCAACGCCCGCTTGAAGCATGTTGGACCAGCTCCTAAAGCTTTCCTCTCCTTCAGATGAGCGAACACAATTTGAAACCTGGTGACTGGATATGCGATAGCTGCCAAACTCATAATTTTGCGAGTCGCACAGCTTGTTTTCGCTGTCACGCACCAAACCGTCTTCCAGCTACCTATGGATCAGCCGCTCCTGTAGCAATGAAACCCGGGGATTGGCTCTGTCCAAAACCGGGGTGTAGATTTCAGAACTTTAGCTCACGGCATGAATGTATGCGGTGTGGAACGAAGCGGCCGGGACAAGTTGGGCAGGGTAGCAGCGCGGGCAGCGGGGGGCTGGGTGGGATGGGGAGGCCCGGCCATGGTGTTTCCACGAAGATACTGCCTGGGGACTGGATTTGTCCACAGTGCTCCTTAAACAACTTTGCCTCTCGTACAAAATGCATGCAGTGCGGAGCGCCAAATACGGGAGCAACACGTCCTGTCGATCGACCTGGGGACTGGAGCTGTCCGAACGAGAGTTGTCGATATCACAACTTTAGCAGGTATATATGGTACTTGTTATTTTTTCAGTCATTTGATGAATGCCCATATTAATACCGCTTTCAGTCGAGTTGAGTGTTACAGGTGCGGAACACCTAAAAGTATGGGTCAAACTCAAGTGAGTGGGGGTGGAATGCAGTTTTCGATGAGACCGGCCAATCAGATGAAGCCAGGAGATTGGATTTGCCCTAACGGGTCGTGTGGGTTTCACAACTTCGCAAGGTATGGCAGTAAACAAATGGATGTCGTTCTATAAATGTGGTTTAGCGTATAATCAAAACAGGTTGTTAACGCATTAACCTCTTAGACGAGAGACCTGCGCCCAATGCGGAACACCGGTCCCCTCTGGAACCGGCCATGACATCGCTGCGCAGTCCGCCCCTTTAGCGCCACCGGGAACGACTTACGCTCCATTTCCATCTTACGGACAGTCATTGTTTTCTCAAGGACATGAGTTTGCTGCGTTGGGCGGGTATGGCACCTATCCACCTGGGACTGAGGGATATAATTATACGTCGTGAGGTAGGACGGACATGTGTGCCTGAAAGTGGAGACGTTCGCTGGAGAGGGGTTGCTGTAGATCGCGGACAGTATTAAGTATTGCGGTGTCGTCCGTGTGAAGGGCGAGGATATGGTCTTTCGGAGTTTTGTTTTCATGTTTTGTATAGTTTTTCTTGTGTTTATTTCGTCCGATCAAAAGTACCCTCCCTTGATCATGTCTGATCAAATGTTCTACTGGGCGAGGACTGGAATTTATCAATATTGAGTACTGAAAGAGTTTTGCCACCCATGCATGGATATAGAGGATATAGGTAGCTGCCACATGTGGATGCATTCATTGGGTTCGATCGTCCACTGGGGTCCACGTCAGTTATGGATTGTTCATCGGGGGGCCCAACTGTTTCCAGGTTCACCCGAAGCTCTGGACGCCAAGTGAAAGCACTTGAACACGATGCTCCATGGATATGGGGCGTGGAAAGGCATCGCGACCAGGGCGTAATCTTGCAGTTGTGGAAATGAGACGCGACGGGGAGGCTGGAGTCATCGAATTTCGTCGTCTGTCATGCACGAAGAGAATACTCGTATGAAAGCAAGTCAATATTTCCAGGATATTATCGAATCAATCCACTCGCAAAATGTCCTTGCCCCAGTCGATGAGGATGCCGCTCGCAAAGTCTTCTTCACAGACCAAGAGTGGATGCTGCCATCCGGACGCCCGATAGCTGCCCTGTCTGCTGCCGCGCTGGGAGCTCTCGCCTATTCACTTCAAGCCATATGGAATGTGAGGCGCGGTAGCATGGCAGGGATCGCCAGTGCCCGAGTTTCCCAGCGGGGAGCAGCAATAGCGGTGCGATCTCACAACTATTGTCGGATAGTAGACCCTCCGCGGAACCTGAACCCTTGGGATCCTCTGTCGGGTTTATATGAGGCTGCGGATGGGAGACATATCCAGTTGCATTGCAATTATTCGCATCACAGAGGTACGGCTCTCAAAGTTTTGGGTGTGGTTGATGTCCCTGATCTGGGAAGGGACAAAGTGAGCGACGCTGTGAGAAAGAGGGATGCGCTAGAATTGGAAACGCTGATCACTGAGGCGGGCGGCTGTGCGGCAATGGTCAGGACATCTGGAGAGTGGGATTCGCATCCACAGCGGCGTGCGCTAACTCAACCTCCGCTCGTTACCATTCGAAAGCTTAGGGACACCAAACCGCTTGCGGTTGGGCCTACAAGACCTGGTGCCAGACCACTGCAGGACGTCAAAGTCCTTGATCTGACCCATGTCCTGGCAGGCCCGACTGCGACAAAGGCGTTAGCGTCCCACGGTGCAAAGGTCCTGAGCGTTTCCTCGCCCAATCACGAGCAAATTGAAGCCGCGCTGGTCGACACAAACTTTGGAAAGCGGTCAGCGTTCCTCGACTTCAATGATGCAAAAGATTTAGAAAAAATGAAAGACCTGCTCAAAGAAACGGATATTTTTGTCCAATCCTATCGCCCAGGTGCTTTGGACGCATTCGGGCTCTCTGCAGATGCCCTGGCCGCCATTCGTCCTGGGATTGTGTACGTCTCAATTAGCGCCTACGGTACCACAGGTCCATGGGCTGGTAAACGTGGATTTGACACACTCGTCCAGTGCGTCTCGGGGATGGCGGACTCTGAATCTGACTCTTTTGCAAAACCTAAACATCTTCCGGCGCAGATCTTGGATTATGCGTCCGGATATCTCGCTGCGTTCGGTGCCGTGCTGGCTTTACGTCAACGGGCGCTCGTCGGTGGCAGCTATAGTGTCGACGTCTCTCTAGCACGGACATGTGAATGGGTACGGAACGCTGGATTAGCGGAGTTCGATATCAGCCAAATCAAGATGCCAACGGAACAGGATGTGGCAGACTTGCTTTTAACGACCCCCGGAACAGAATATGGTAAAGTGCAGCATGTGAATCATGCTATCGAAATGATCCCTGAGGAGTTCAGTCCCCGGTTTGAGTTGCCGACGTGTCGCAGGGGAGCACATGCCGCTGAGTGGTGGTAAATGGAATTGAGACATCCAATGCCCCTCACGACCGGAACATACCGTCTATTCTGGCCAAAGCATATACAAAAGAAAGACATGAATATATATATACGAATAAAGATCAGTTACAATAGCCAATCGCATCGCGACCCGTTCATACAACGAAACGATGTAGATACTAAGATTGCGCGCCTAAATGTCTATCCCACAACAGGAAATTGTCCATAGTCTAAATGACAATAAAAGTTACTATCTTCTACACGCACTGGTTCGTTGAATTTCAGTTGCTGCACTTCTTGGGGACTTTGAAACTTTCCTTTCCGCCATTTTTAGCATCGACGCCGAGCCCGCGCTTGGCGAACGCTTCCCAAAGTGTACAAAGGTTCTCGCCATCATTGTTCAATTCATCGGCTTGCAAAATGGCATCTCGCGCGTCCACAAAGGTTGGGTAGCAGGGTTGGAGCTTCATGCCGTCCACAACGAGTTGCAAGGCAAGGATATTGCCACCTTTGGTATTTTGCTTTGGATCTTTGCGACGCGGTTGAAGTTGGCCCGTGCGGAAGTCACGGTAGTGGGTTTCAGAGGGAGAAACTTTGTAACCAGTATTGAACCAGTCGGGGTCAAAGCCGTGCTTGTCGACAAGGTTCCAGAAGACTTCGTAGAGGATCTCGGCCCACACCTCACCCTTCGCATGCACTCCCCAGTAACCGGGGCGGGTGATGAAACCGTACGTGGAGGGGTTAATTGATTTATCTGTTGAGTACTGTAAAGGGGAAAGAGAGCCAATATTGAGTCACGGTCGCAAGTGATAGCGCTGGTAAGTGTACATACCTTGTACTTTCGGATCCCATATCCACCATTGGCATATTCACCCATGCCAAAGTTGTCATGCCGAGTCGAATTGGGCGTTGTACGCGTGACAGTCGCAAAAAAGTCGCCCCATCCTTCTCCCATGCCACCACTTTCGCCCCACCCAAGACAACCAACGTTCATTGGTCCTCCAGTCAATCGAATCGACAGACCATGGCAGTATTCGTGCATCTTTTACAGGAAGTGTCACTATGCGGTACCTATCAGTTCCGTGGGTGATACATTGCCAACACTTACCACAATGCCGCCTTCAAGGTCTCCATCGCGGAATGGCCGCGTCACATCCCAGACGTACATGCGCATGCGAGGCTGGCGTCCATCAGGGGGCGTAGCAAAGTTTGCTAAGCGGTAAACTCATGAGATGATATGATTTTGCAATGTTGATTGTACACTTCGTGGGACCTACCATTGTTGTATCCAGATCCATCCTGCGCATTGGCAATGACAGCGTCCCCACCCTTCCCACCGCGTCCAATATTATCATGTTGGAAGTTGCCGGCCTTTTCGTCGAATCCGTAGACATCTGCGGGAAATCGCACAAAGGTTAGCAAACAGTGTTTACAGTATTGGAGTCTTGGCCAGTAACCAAACAAGCACATACAAAGCAGATCGTGAATGGCGTTGTTCCAGTAAAAGAGGTTCACAATGGCCGCGTCAAGGTAGGTACTCGGTTGTTTTTTAAAGTCGATCGGGAAGTCAAAAGTGAGAGAAACCGTTCCATCGGGTCTGTGATTATCTACCCAGCTTGATGTTCCCTCTGCAATGACAGCCGACAGACGTTAGACTCTGCAGGCTTGTCATTAAGAAGCAAAGGTAACAACATACCCAAATTTTCGTGAGCATACACATTGTTACCAATGGTGACGGTGTGCTGGCCCCCGTTTCCTTGATTGTGCCATCCCATAGGGGATGCTAATGGGTGCGCGGGATCTCGGACGAGTACGCGGTCTCCCGACTCAGGGTCATTAATGCCAAGCGGGAAAACATGGTAGGTAGCGTCAGAGACCCAGTCGATGAGCTGCACAACGTCGCCAGTACCAGAGTGCACGAAGGCATTGTACCTAGAAGCCACCGAAAAATCAGCTTTTGTTAAGCCACGCCAAGACAAAATATGGAGAGCCGCCCACACACCAGTTCTCTTGCATTTCCACTTCCAGATCCCACACCAGAGAGATATGTTTTCCGTCCTCTTGCTGAATATACTTGAGTTTGGCGGGAATAGCTCCTAGCGCAAAGGATGCTCCACTGACAGCAAACGATGGGCCATCATCTTTCCCTGGCGCGAAGCTGTCTACTGGCGTCTCTTGCAGCATCAGCTCGTTGATCTCCAAATTTAAAAATTTGGCCAAGGCGAGAACAGCATCGGCCGGGCCGAGCTGAACCTGATCAGCCTGTAAGCTTCCATGTTTTTGGGGAGCAGGTACCTCCGAGGAATCCAGATTGTCAATCAACAACGCGCTGAAGGGACGTTGCTTGGTGAACGAAGCCTCCACCGCTTCAGTTGAGCCCGTGAACAGCGAATTTCCAAAGGAGATGATGCGACCAAATTTGTCGACATTGACATTGGCGACTCCATTTACTACGGGAATTCCGTTAGCGTATTGCTGAAGGTAAACGTGGGTCACACCAGAGTGGTCCGTTGTGTGGGAACTAGAGACGCGGAGCTGGTCTTGGGACACGCCAGACTTTCCAGCAGCATATCTAAATTACAATATTTTCATTACGATCAGAATCTAGCTTTATGGAAATGATAAAAGGCAAATGTAGAGCATACTTGATTGCAATGTCGATTGGGTTGTCGCCGGACGGAGTCTGTGTCAAAAAAGTCACGAAAGCCGATTCCTGAAGGATTCCGTGCTCATAGGATTGATGTCCCAGCGATGGTCCAAAATTGCCGTGGGTCCGTGATGCAGCAGGCGTGCGAGATCGGCCCGATCCATGAGACGAGTGGGGATGTGCCCATCCAAGGGAAGCGCTGCTAGCACATAGAACAAGGAGGAGGGCGGAAAGTTTCTTTGACGACGAGGACATTTGTCTACGATTTGGCTTATTAGATTTGACAAGAACAAAAACATTCCATTATGATACAAGAAGAATATAAATAGGGATGAAATGGTATGAGGGATAAAGCATCATTTGGCGCAATTTGATTTGCAATTTGCAGCATTTCCCAAGCCATAAGTCGAAACGCTCTTGTCTTTTGACAAATTGCGGGGCATTCTATGACATACCAATATCCTTCCGACTGTTCCCGGAAGGCGGCCGCGATATGGAAAACGAAATTGGCGATAACTTGTGTGTGTGTGCGTGTGTGTTTGTGTTTTTTAAAAAGACCTGGCCGAGAAGGGGGGGGGGGGGGGGGGATGGAAAGCACCGTCTATTTATATTCCAAAATCCATACAATAAAAAAAACAAAACGTCCCCGAGGGAGTCTGTTCAAAACACATCCACAGACATCACGCGGATAACTTTTGGATCACACGGCAATGTAATTTGGGCTTAGTGATTGTCGATATCTCGGAAAGGGGGGGTTTTGAAGTTTGATATCAGCTGCTTATCTTCTAACGTTATTAACATGACATGATGTCTATATTGCCATTCTTTATCGCCATAGATTTGATAACAATAAAAAGCCCATGGCCGAGCAGCACTGCGCAAAAAGCTGGCTGGGTGCGCTTCCGCCTTTACGCACCGCAATTACCAAAAAGCACCGTCAACACAAAGACCAAATTTCCAAAGGGTTTTCAATAATTCCACCAGGACTTTTTTGCCAACGGGAGATGGAGGGGAAAGGGGGATGGGGAGGAAGGGCCTCGGGGGAAGGAAGGAAGGTGGTGGCCGGTGGTTGGTGGTGCAGGGGGAGGAGACATTGGGCAAGTCCAAAACGTTAATATGTAGTCACGTGAGTAAGCAATCGGTGGATGTGTTACTATAGCAACAGGTGGCAAAGCCATCTCGAACCACAACCCCCGTCCAAAGCCTCTGGCCGCCTTGATCAGCAAGCAGCAGCATCCTTTCCAGCCAGTCTTTTTATTTTGGCAAGCTACACTGCTTTGACAGGTTGAAATATTCGTTTCAACTGTATATACCCATCATTTGAGAAAGACCTGTCACTGAGGTGAGTAGTCCCATTTGGTCCCTCACTTACCGCGCGCTCCCCCGACTTTGGATTCTCACCCGGCTCAAGTCCTATTGGGTGCCCTGCTGTCTTCATCCCGCTGTCCAACCCTGGTTTTTCCATATGACTGTTCCTCTAGCTGCTTCAATTGGATCACAGCCAACCATGACGGGGATAACGGTGGAACAAGTGCTACAAGTGTTGCAGGTGTTTTTCTTCCCGAACGGAGACAATGTCAGCAAAAAGGACGCAGACTCGTGGCTAGACAACTTTCAGAAAACGGTGTGGAATATGCTCTTTTATGTCCCCCAAATACCCGAGGGCCTTGTTCCAACGCGTTTTGCTCGCTATTTAGTCAGCTGCTTGGACCATTGGGGATCAACTTTTACGTACGGATAGCTTGCCGTTGGAAGTTCGGATATTCGCTGCACAAACGATGCGTCAAAAGGTATAAAATATAATGACCCCCTATTGACCGACAACTGTGCTAAACATATGTTTTAACTTGTGTGTGTGTGTGAGCTAGATAGAATTCGATCTTGACCAGCTTGATGTCACCGCGCGTCAGTCTCTCCGAGACTCACTACTGACACTTCTCCACCACTATCGAGCTGGACCAAAACCAATGGTGACGCAGCTCTGCCTTTCGTTGGCCGATCTAGCAATTCAAATGGTCGAGTGGGACGATCCAATTCAACATCTTATTACCATGTTTGGTAAAGAGGGTGAGATGGTTGGACCCTTGCTAGAATTTCTCGGTGTCTTACCAGAGGAATGCGGCTACAATAAGAAGATCCAAATGGATGTATGTGACCGTTTGGAGTCTCCGTCTGGACCTGGTGCACCAGTGTTTGCGATCATTCACACATCGTTCTCTGCCATAGGAGGACGAGCTCATCTGTCGTGCAGATAAAATATTGCACGAACACGCGACTGAGGTGTTAAGTCTTCTTATGTACTATCATGGTCATGCAGGTAAGTGAACACAGGGCGCCACGCTGGCTCTTCCTGGCAGTCCCACTCTAATACCA